GGTACAAGTCATTTTACAGTCAAGATCTTGGATACAAGATAATTTTTAGGATTTTGTACGCAAGATCATGGGCAAGATCTTAGGAACAAAAATATCATGACATCCTGTACCAAAGATCTTGCTAAGATCTTTCCGAAAAAATCTAAGATATCAAGATCTTGGTTCCAAGGTGTTTGACTAGGGTAAGACCCAACCTTACGGTATAAAATCGAAAACTTTGAAAAATTTTCCGGTGTTTTGTTATACACTATGCGACTCGGCAAAACAAAACAATGATACCGTTCTTGGATCATACTTCATTGAAATGGTGAAATAGTGTAAGACTCTCATTCAGAACTGGAATTCAGCGGTTTTCACATACGATGCTCGACTAGGATACTTTAGATATCTTCCTATTATTCTTTTAACTCTCATAGTCTCATCTGCGATGCTTCCTGGGATCTGCACGGATCCCAGATGGGGATATGAGGCTTAACTAGGTGTGAAATCTGATGTAGGATATAGCTGCAGTGCAATTTGTGCGTTCGCACATGTGTATGATGTTATCTTTCTTTTTCCTTACTGTACTATCGCTTCATTCGCATTTTAGCTGAACAAAGAGTAATACACATGCATGCACTATAAGCATAAATGCATTTTCTTGCAGCTTTCTTTTTCAGGCAATAATATTATGCAATCGATATCACACAATCTATTTTACGTTACTATTAAAAAACATTGCATATAATATTTTGTTTGTAGATTTTGTAGATATCTGTGCCGTCAGTTTCTGTACTCTATTCGTCCGTGGTTTCTTGCACAGTAAAAAATAATGTGTCGCATTTATATGTCGCAGTAAGTGGTGTTGTAGACTCTCTGAGAAAAATGTGTCGCAAACGAATGTGTTGCGGTCGAAGTGTCGCAGTTACTAAGGTTCTAAAGATGTAGTTTTAGCATATATGTTAGGCTCTAGGAACGGAACCACGCCTCTCCTGCCTCATGTTTTGGTATGATTTAGCATTCTTCGTTTGATGTTTCTTTGCCATCTCTTGATCTTTAATCAGCGGTAGATGTCGTTAACACAAGAAAAATATAATTCATTTCTTTGATTTGGCGGTTTTCTAAGACTTCAAACCTTCCTTTAAGGCAAATAGAAGTTAATTATTCTTAATTTTTGACCATTGTATAAGTTCATACAGTTTAAACTAGTCTTTATAACCAGTTCGGTCCTTGGCTACGCTTGTTAAATTATATCTCAACCGTTCTGCGACACCTTATTTTTTAGTGTGTGGAGTGCACTTGTGTAGACCTTTATTGCCAAGTGATTTAAATTAAATTTTCGACTAAAATTCTGATTAAACTTACAAATGAGCTAATTCGTGAGCAATCGTAAACGCCGTCGCGAATCCATTATCTCGGACTACCGCGCAACTTGATGATGTATTGCACATTGTTCCCAATTCTGTTAAGCCTATAAAACGAAAACAAAATAAATTTCTCCTAAATGGTTGTAATGACGAATAATATGTACCTAAAGTATCACATTTGTTGTCTGATTCAGTCTTTGTTCTTTTATGACACAGCGGTATTCTGAAAGATAAAAAATATTGCATGTATACGATGCTGTATACTGCACAGAAAAACAGATTGTTATACCTTGTAAGTAACACGGCAACATCGTATGTAATAGGAGTATTAAAATCTTTTTGCCATTTACAAAATTTATTCAGAATATCTGCTGCATCTCCACCGAATGTTAACTGAAAAAAAGATGGACAGATAAATAGAATGATGTAGATTTTATTGACTCTAAGGTTTCTACATACACCGGGCACTTTCATTAATTTCACTAGCCAGATTTTAATGTTATTTCCGATGCTCGCATCAGAATATAAATGCGAAACCTAAATTTAAAAGAGATTTGATATCAAACTGATGTTGACAGGATGAGACATTCAATGTAATACAAAATTACAAAGGTGCCAAATAAAGCATCATATTCTTTTAATTTTGACTGTGAGACAGTTGTAACGATAAGTGAAATAGGTGTAAGAACAACACCTTGCAATTGACAGTTTGCATTTAAAACATACTTACATAGCTAAATAATGTTAAAATATAAGATGTAATATCGGTATCACTGTGAAACGTTTCAAAATCAGAATCATAAGCGACAAAAACTTCAACATGTTTAGCTAATGGATCGGGATCATTTCGTTTTGTTCTATGACTACGATGACCATCATTTATTAAGAGAAGAGATTCATTAAATGTCAATAAAATTTTATTAGAGTCTGTCCGAGATCTCAAAATTGATCTTTGTGAAAAATCGTTCTCAATATCATTAGATAATGTATCATTCACGGTTAGATTGATTGATGTATTTGAGTATGGAAGTGATCGATTATTTATTGAATAAAATGGTTTTTTTCTTCGTCGTTTTTGTCGATCTGATCGCTCAAAATAAGGTTTTCCTACATAAATAAAGTAAACATCACAGATTCGATAACATAAGATAATGTTTCATATGCTTCTTACCATGCACCGGGCAACGAACAGAGTCCGGTTCTGGATGATCATTGTGATCTTTGTGAGTGTATAATAAATGTTCAAATTTCCACGTTATATTGTTTTCATTTCGTTTTGGTTCAATGTAATATTCAGTATCATGATATAGGAAACTCCCAAGCTAGAAAAACAACAGAGTATATTGTGAGTGGCTCGACTTAAAATACGCTGCAAAACTCTTTAATCATTAGTTATTATGCACACTATCAGAGATGATCAAGTCCTCTGTTTTTCAGTCCGAGCTAGAAATTTTTTCCTATTCGCTCCTATGTTTTGTCTTGTATTTGTTTATCGAAAATGACACTGTTTCTTTAAATGCCTATATCAAAGATTTTTCTCTGCACTAAAACCCAAAATTTGAAGAATTGATTTGAAAAATCAGTCACACCTGCAAAAATAATCAGTTCCAGTCAAGTCTCAGGTCATTAGATCCTCAATCTCAGTCCAATTACAGTCCGGTTAAAAAAGCTTATCAGCCTGGACTGGGACTTATCCACCTCTGCACACTGTCAATTATTATTTTCGTTTGTTTTCTTTACTATTTTAGTATTTAAATATACTAACCATTCCATTGCAAAGGCTTAATGTCACTTTCGAATTTGGATCATGATTAACCAATCCACTATAATAACAATGAACAATATCACGTGTTATCCATGTACGATTTTCATCAAAATGTTGTACGACAAAAGTGGGTGAAATAAATGAATCATCGTTAAATAATAGTAAATCAAATGTTTGATTAAAACCATTTATACGATAATTACTCGTTACTGTTGTTATTGGTGTTTTATTATTAGGCCTTCTAAGAGATGATGATAATGATGAAAACGGTGGCATCAATTTACGTTTACGTATACGATAACGCGATGTTTTATTTAAAAATGATAATGATGACGACGACGACGACGAAGTTATAGTATTACTATTATCGAAAGAACGTTTACGTCGATAATGTTTATCGTTAGACGATATAAAATCGTTTTCAGTCGATATCGACGTCACTGGTATAGATGGATGTGATTTCCAATCAGGTAATAATGAAAATAATGTTGATAATGGTGTATGATCTGAGCGAAGTTGTTTTAAAGGTTTTGGTATTACAATTTCGTAGTTGAATTGTTCTTTGTCAGATTTTTCTAAAAAAACAACAATAACTCTTTAAGTATTCCGAATATTAAAGAATTAGATAAAATTTTTGAATAATCAAGGCAAAAAATATTTGATGAGATTAAAAGTTCTATTGTGAATTTATATTCACAAGTTTTACAAACGTGTGACGTCTATTGTAATATAATTGAACATAATATTACTACAAATAGAGTTAAAAATTTTTATATTCTACTCTTTTTTGTATTCTCTCTTTCTATATAAGTATACTTAAATAAGATTTAATAATTAAACAGTGTTTACCTATAGAAATTTCAAGACTTGTAAATTTTATCAACACGGTAATGAAGCCTATGATGATAAAAGGACTATCAAATATCAACATAGAACTATCTATCTATAACGAGATAAGCTGTTGCAAATGTTTAACAAGTAACCTTACATGTCACATTGAAAAAGAAAAAGAAAACAACCTTAGTGTCTGTGAACATTTACTCACTATATATTACTAATGAAGTCAATCCAATGAAGTGAAAAAAGAGTATATTAAGTTGAAACCTAATTGTCATTAACTTCAATTGTAAAAAAATATAATAATATTTTCATTTTTTTTGTAAATCATGGTTTATATTATCAATTATTTTTATACTTTGATAGATTATTATCGGAAGTAGTGATAACATATGAATAATAATATACTGTATATGAAAGAAAAACTTTTTATAAAAATAGAAAATTTACTCAACATTTTTTTTAGTAGATATTTTAGCTTAAGGTACTTTAAAGTTCATTTTATTTTTTTTAATATTCTCACTCTCGTCTATATCTGTAATTCTTCTCCACTATTTCCATAATTCATAACCTTGTAAGATAGATAAATTGAGAAGAAGAAGAAAAAAAAAGAAGAAGAATGATCGATCTATTGCCTTCAAAATGATAGTGATGTGGAATATCTTTATTCTGTCTTCTTTATAAATTTAATACGTTCACTTTGGATTATACGTAACTAATCACTTATCCTTCTATTTATTTATTTTTGAAATTGTTATTAGAAATATGATCACTCAAAATGATTATCAACAACACAAATTCGATTCAATACCCAAAGGCAATTAGTTACATTGCTTTCTTCTCTCGTTTTTTACCATATATTTAACCTTCAACTCACGAACTCCCTTCACTTCTAAACATTCTACAGGTTATTCGTCAAATAGATTTATTAGATATATATATATATATATATGATACTATAATACAAAATTTTTCTTCTAAGAATCATAGATTAGGATAATTTTTGCTTTAAATTATTTGTAATTATAAGTTTTTCTAAGAAATTTTAGATATATATCGTAGAAATGTGAAGCATTCCATATGTATCATATAATCTATGACGGCAGCTCGTCATGGCCACATACTCTACTGAGGTTTTCTCTCTCGCTCAGTAAGTAATGTCTGTTTTCTTTCTTAACCACAACTTTTCTCTTGTTTGCCAAATTTGTATGTGTATACGTCTATTTTATTTGTTTTTTTTCTCTTCTTCATACATTTTGAATAACTAACAAAAACTTTGTCATTAATCATTTTTAGCCTTGTCCATTATGATACGCATAAGCAGCAGTATGTTTCTTCTTCTCTATTTGTTTTTTTTTTTTTTTTTTTTAATTTTTAATTGTAATTTACATTTTTTTTTTAACGCATTTTTTTAAACCATTTTTACAACCATGAACACATATTTTGGAAGTTTTAAAAAAAAAATTTTTGTTTTTAACAAAAAAACACTTGGCTCTTAATAATTTTTTGCCTTTTGCTATAATAATCTAAAAACACTCCCTAAGTTTCATGATTCTTTTTTGTTTTTTTTTTTTTTTTTTTTCATTTTTCATTCTAATTTACATATATTATTCTACGCATTTTTTTCACACATTTGTACATCCATCTACAGATAATTAGTCAGGTTTACAAAAAAAATGTATCTTTATCAATACAGTGAGAATATCTCAGGTGGAAAGGGCTTTCTATCAAATGTAGACACTACACTTTTCTTTTTTTTTAACATAATCAACTCGACACTCACTAATATTTTTTTGTGCATTTTTGATGCTAATTCTTCTATTTAAGTGTAAAAATTGTATGAATAAATGACCTATTGTAGAGAGAGACATTGAAACACCCTAAAAAATTCAGTGAATGTGTACATTGTTATTTTTCCTATTATAATAATTGTATATTGACAACAACAAACTTGTATTAAATTTATACAAAAAATTTTAAATGACGTTTATTTGACACTAGATAAAGAATCATAAATCTAAAACTATTGTGTTAAAAATTATAAATATTTGTATTCAGTTATCAAATAATATTTTATGCACACAATGTTAAATTGAAAGAACAATAATAATCATTTTTAATATAAGAGAAAAAAAAAAAATTATATATTTATAGAGTTGATTATGTTAAAAAAAAAGAAAAGTGTAGTGTCTACATTTGTTTG